GAACAAGGTATGGTTTTAAGAAAAATGTTAAAATATAAAGTAGCCTGTTTGCTGTAGTGGTAGTGATTCTTTGAAGATAAACACCCAGTACAGATAAGAGCCAAAATAATCAAGATGACTCATAAGCTTAGTATAAACATGTGGAAAACATCAACTTATTTCCAAGCCAATGCTAACCATCAGAGTAAACAACTTGTCAGTCCTTTAAATGATTTAGGAGTAGCATAAGAATCCACTGTGTCAAGGACATTGATTCCAAGGTATTTGTTGCCAATTCCAGAGCAGCCTAGAGACAAAGGGGAATAGAAAATGATTTATTATTCACTCAAATACAAGGGAGCACTTCTTAATTCTCTAACTTCACGATCTATCTTGATATGATTTTTCTAAGGTGCATATTTAGATGGAAATATATTAAAATTTTTTAATATAAGAAACCCTGAAAATTACCATCAAATCTAGGTTGAAATACAGTTGCATATGTAGGCCAAGAGTGGGTTTCTTAGGCCAAGGAGGCTAGGACATTGGCCTCACTCAATAGCATCACTAGATGGGTCTAGGTGTTGGCAGAGGGGCCAGAATAAAGTAAATATGTTCTTTGTGTTCCATGGCTCTGGTATGGATGAAAACAGCCATATCCAGTGTAAAACTCCCAATCCAATACATTACTGAAGAGAGGCATATAGAAAGAAGAGAGCTGTTCTGTGAGGATTTGGATATATTTCCCTAAAGAATACACAGGCAACATGTTTACAGATGAGGTAGGAAATGGTAGACTGAGCTTTCTAAGTAGAATGGATAGATACACTACTTTTGGTGTCATGGAAATGTGGTACATCATGGTTAGCCAGGCATCTGACATGTGTCAATAGCAATGATGTTGTTACAGAAATGACTGTAGGGTATCCACATTTTGAGAAAACAGTATGTCTACTGAAATTGTAGGTAGTAGACTAGCCAGCTGTTTTGTTGTTGTTGTTTGGTTGGTTTTCATTGAAACAAAGAAGTAAATGTAAAAAGCAGGGTTTGTTTTGGCTCAAATTTTGAAGGCTCTGGTCCATGTTCTATTTTCTCTGCTACTTTGGGCCTAGTAAAAGTATGTGGTGAAAGAAAGGGGAATCTTCTGGCTTGGATGGGGAAAGAGAAAGAAGGAGGAGGAAGCTATGGTCCTCATGATTCCCTCTGAAGACTTAAGACCTCCCCATATCAGTCTCACCTTTTACAGGATCTATTACTGCCAGTAGTGGCCACACTGAGGGACAGTCCAGATTCCAGATTATAGCAAGTGATAAGATAAAGATATGCAACCCAGATTTTATTTTGCTTGCTAAGTGCCTACTATTCAAATATTAAAAATAAAACATACCCATGGCTATTGTTTCTTTTTATATCAGAGCTTCTAATCAGTCTATCTTTTAGAGTCTCAGTGAAAAGGAAGAAAGGTGGCAAGGGATTAAAAACACATATGTTTTTTTTTTTTTTTTCAGGAATCCCTGACAGGTGAAGTTGAAACTCCACTCTTAGGTGCTTTCATTTATTGTTCCCAGGTGACACCGGACAGATGTTAAGATAGCACAAAGTATTGCAACTTAAAGTCTCTCTAAAAGAGGCTGCAGAAGGTCCTGTGTGCAGAAAAGATAATAATAGCAGTGATAACCATAACAGAAGAGTGCAGGGCGGGGTGGAGTACTGAATCCTGATAAATTGGGATGAGGTGGGGGGGCGGGGCGGGGGAGGTAGTCATGACCTTTGAAGATGTGCCAGGAGAATTTGTGAGTGATGCAAAGTAAGTACCACTGGGCGAAGAGGCAGGATGTTTGAGCACATCCGGGGAGTTCCCAAGGATGAAGGAGAGCATGCTTTGCGTCATCAGGATCACAGAGACTCAAATCCTCCCAGGAAGTCATGTCTTTTTGTACTAGATGTTTTGAAGATGTATTGGGGTGGGGATTGTTGGGGGGGGGGGCAGTGAAAGGGGAGGGGAACATCACTGAGAAAAATTCAACAGTCTGAAAGGAGGGTAAGATTACGAAGATAAATGTTTACCTCGAAGCTGTATTGTGTCTCTTGAAATGACGCGGGTTTTGAATAGTGCTGCCTGTGTACTGTGGAATGCGGGCATTGTGAACAAATTGACTGTCTCAGATGATTTGACACATTTTGATTTCTACTTAGGAAAATATCTGTTAATCCTATTAGAAAGAGAAGGAGAGGTCCTGAGCAGAAAGGCAAAGGATCAAGCTCCTTCCTGTCTTGCACAGGTTCTCCCCACGCCAAGGCAGTAAAACCTCTGCTATTTTCGAAAGACCTCATACCTCATCGCTGACCTGCTTGGCACTACATCAAAATCCCTTCTCCTCCCAATCGCTTGCCTGGCAGTAGCGTAAACTGAGACAGGACTGGATGGCTGTCCTATCAGTGGCAAACTACAAGAGAAAACAAATCTTATTCTATGCCTTTTCTCTTAACATATTTTTCCTTTCTTCCATCCTTCTCTCTTTTCCTGTCTTGTCTGTGTGCTTCACTGTTTGCTAATATCCAACCACAGGCCATTTTTTTTTTTTTTGTGCTTGGCAGAGGAAGCAATTTTATTGTTCGGTAACTCCAGGGGGGGATATGGTGTCTATGATGTTGTCTAGGCCCAACCTCCCCCAGGAAGGTTAACTAACTCCATCGTACTCTCAAAGGAGAAAGGATGCCAACCACACACACACACCTACCAGACATCCTCTCTATATAGAGAAAGCATATCTGTTGCTACCCAGAAGTACTATTTATCCTCACAATGGTGATATCTCTGTGTTGCTGTTCAATTTTGGGGACCAGGAGAAGTTATCTAAATCTGAATCTACAGAGTCCAAATTATGGATGAGGAAAAAGGGAAGACTTTTTCCTCTCTAACCTCTTTCTGTGTTCTGGAGTAGCATGTAAGTCTGATCAAAGGCCCACTCATCTGTCTCAAGAGCCAGTGCTGGAGCCCAGCATGCACCTAGAAATATGCACTCACAATCCTAGAAAATTGTGTTCATTAAACTCCACCGACAGGTCCTCACCCAGAATCTGCTCTGCGCCAAAGCAGCATCCTGCTGCTAATCCCTCTTTATAGATCAGATTGTAAAATAAAGAGGGTGGGGCTGAGGTGCAGGGAAGTCTGCACACTTGTTTGGAGAAGAAAAAAAGAGGGAAACAGAGTGATTTCTTGTTCTCTCCTTTATGTGCTGAGTTGCCCGGACTGACCAGACCACGGAAAGAGACACAGGGCTTTTTAGTGTTCACAGTATTTTTCCCCTCCACAGGGTAAGTGCTACATGCAACATGGGAATTTCCAGTAAGATCCCATAAATGTCTTTCAAACAGTGGCATATTGTCATTTCTGTATTGCTCCTCCCTTTGTGTGCTAAGGAGGAGATAATCACACTCGCAGCTGACATTATTGAGTGCTTACTAGGTGCCAAGCAGGTGGTGCACTACTTATGTAATGCCATTTCACTCTCTAAGATCCCTGGCATTAGATGTGGGAGCTGGTGAAGCTGCAGTTTAGAAAGGTGAAGAAAGTTGATCAAGTAAGTAGCAAGGCTGGGATTTGAACCAGAAGCTTTCAAAAATCTCACACTTAACTTTTTTTTTTCCTATAATTTCCTCTATAAATAGTTCCATTGAGAGTATGTTTTTTGGTTTTCATTTAAGATTTTAGTGACTGTTCCTTAATAATAGTTCTGCCATTATCTGAATCATTACAATTTTCTGCAATCAAACCGTAGGGTTTCTTGGAGACAGGGCCAGTGTCTCTCTTACCTTTGCATACTCCTGCAGTTCCGAAAACAAAGCATGCCCAGAATGGGAGCTAAACAATTATTTGTTGAAATGCACTTTAGGTTATATCTGTATCTAAATAAAGCCCTAAACAAGTTTACTTCCCCGGCAAAGGCTTTTCTCTCATTTACAGCCATTGCCTTCTTGTCTTGTTTTCCAAAGGTTGATTTTGAACCGGAGGGACACTGCAGTCCTCTTGTCACTTAGCGTGATTTGAAAGTGAGAGTCTGTGTAGTGCTTTCGCCTGCCCTCAGCAATCAGGCCTCACACTCACGAGGCTCTGATTGTAGGAGTTGCCTTATTTGCATTGATGAGGATGAGCCAGCTGCTAGAGCATACAGAACTGCACCTGACACAATCACTGAGTTCAGGATTAGCAAGGGGAATCAGGAATCCACTGAGCTGCACGGCAATCTAAGCCCCACATTACACTCACTCATGCAAAATGACCCAAATTTGCAACGAGCACAATTAGCAATCCAAAGATGCATGTTAATTTGTGGTCTAATATTTTCTTCACGTCCCGAAATTAAAAATAATAAATATACTCTTTTCTTGATGAGTCTGGGCAGAAAAACAATTCAGAGGGTTGTAGGAAATGTGCAAAGCCAGGCAAATGTATATTTCTTTGGGTAACTGGTCACCCTGCCAAAGTTTGTCATTTAATAGCTTTGTAGTGACATCGTTTCCCTTTGAATCAGTAGGCAGCAATGAGGTTAACATAACATATGAGGATAACAATAAATACAACAACAGCTGTAATATATAGAAAAGAAGATCATAAACTTTAAAAAAATGATTTGAAATTTTATATTAGATATTGGTATTTTTTGAGGCTATGTTTGGGTTCCTTGTGACCGTAGATATAGACAGGTATTTCAGAGTCCTGAAGGTACAAGCAATTGTGCAAGGTTTTTATTAAAAAGATTGTGTAAATCAAAGCAAACATTATCACGCCCTGGGCTGTGTTTTCATGTGTTGACAGTCTATAGGTATTGAAATGCTCACCTACACTTTAGTGGGGGGAAAGCCCCAACATTTTATAAAAATTCAATAAATGATCATTCAAAGCAAAAGGATGCAGTTCAAAAGCTAAACCTCCCATTGGAGAACAGAAAATTTAATGAGCTTTTAATGGAATGCAATGCTCAGAGTAGTAAATTATTTGTTAGTTGACGATGCAATCAGCATGCTGATTAAGGTTGCTTGGTTTTTTACTAAACATTAACTGAATGAAAACGGGTAGTCCTTGTTCTGCTTGGGGGCTTTAAGGAAGCAAATGGACTTTCAGAACAGAGATTGTCAATAAAGGTGAGTGCACTCCAGGTGTCATTTGAATATGATGATAAAATACTGGTGATAAATATTTAAAAGCATTTTAAATCCACAATGTTCGCCTAGTGTATTGTGGACTCTGTTTAAAGAAACAGTGGGCCTTGGCAGGCCTAACAGTCCTATCTCTCTCTAAAAAGAAATATCCAGATTTGCTTTTTTTGATTGCAAAAGAAAACAAGCGTGGTGTGCTTTGAAAATATAAAGAAACATAGACTCAGAGACTAGGAAATGCTTGGGAGTTTGGAATGTAAACCTAGAAAGGGAGAGAGAGAGAGAGAGAGAGAGAGAGAGAGAGAGAGAGAGAGAGAGAGAGAGAGAGAATGAAAGAGGGAGATCAAAACAAAGAAAAATATTCCTGTAGGAAATAAAAGAAAATATGTGCTTGTCTGGCTAGATTGAGATAAAAATTTAATTAAGCAGTTTCAATTTTCAATTTTCTGATATTTTAAAATTATTGCTATTAGAATATTTATAATCTTAAATTTGTAAAACATAGCATTCTAGGGGCAGGAGCAGTGTGAGGCTGGCATTTTATTCTGATTTATTGGGTCTGGAGGTTTACAAAAGAACAAGACCAAAACCAGAAAAGGAATTGTGGAATTTTTGGCTATTTCTTTAAGATTATTAATAAACAATTGGGTAAAATTACATCTTTTACTATATTTTAGCAAGTCTGAATATTAGTCATGAATTGTTAGCAGCACGCTTTTTGTTATTGAATCTGTTTAAATCAGTCGGTTGATTTTTCTTCTAAAACAAGGGCTCTTTTGTTTGTTTTCTTCCTGCCAATTGAAGAATCGTGGGCTTGTAGGTTAATTTTCTTCGAATAGCTACAAAGTTCTTTTTCTATAAATCCCAATTAGTTTCATCATTGGTGATTCTCTGGCAATGATCAGGTACCCTTAAAACCCGATAAATAACCACCTCTCACTTTTAGCTATTCCTGTTTATGACCCAAGAGGTTAAAAGCCTTTGACTGGCATTTGACTTCTGACCTCATATAAATGTTATCTTATCAGTCCCTGCTTGTTAAGTTGTATTGAGTGCTTGTCCCCTGATGGCTTTTAGATAAAGGGTTTTGTGTGTGTGTGTGTGTGTGTGTGTGTGTGTTTAAATATTTTTCCTATAGGAACTAAACCAACCAGGGACATTGTTCTGTACCCTGTGCTCTCTAGTAGCTGCTAGGAATGTACTAGAAAACTCCAATTATATTTTTATATATTCCCTACATTATTTTAAATTTGGATTTATGGGTGGGATTTTATGATTAAAATACATATTTATTATAATTAGTGGTAGTAATTCCTAGTGATCATAATCCTTCAGCATATTTGTCAAGAAGCTGCACAGCTTCCTATTTTCTCCTCAAAAAGAAAAAAAAAGAAAGGAAAAACAAAAAAATTAGCTTTGCATTTTGTACCAGCATGAGATGAGTAGAGAGATAATTTATGGAAATCTTGTCTCCACAGACTTCAGAAGTCTGCTTAATGAGAGAGTCATCAGTAAGATATATCTAAAAAAAAAAAAAAGAAAAGAAAAAAGAAAAAAGAAAGAAAGGAAGAAAGAAAGAAAGAAAGAAAGAAAGAAAGAAAGAAAGAAAGAGAAAGAAACCAAAAAACAAAGGGGCCATGAAGAGTGTTTTGCTAACCTTCGAGAAAAGGTGACCAGACTGTCCTTTCCCTCCATCCTGGAAATTAAGGCAGTACTGGGCCTTTGGTTTCTTTTGTAATTGTGTGTGTTGTTCAGACATTCAAGTATACGTGTGTGTGTGTGTGTGTGTGTGTGAGTCTAGTCACTGTGCCCGAATCTAGTGTGTTTGAATGCTTGCATTTTAATCTCTCTATACCTCCATGGCACTGAGAGGATTCTGCAGGCAGACATTGGTGCCTCAGACAGGCTGCTTCATTTGCTAATGATCTACAGTGTGCTTCCCAAACAAACTATTACATTAATTTCCATGTGGGAAACAGGCAGTGAGGAGGAAAATGGAGGGGCAGCCATCTTGGAGTCAGCCTGCCTTTCAGACTCATTCTTTCTTCTGCTAAGGCTCAGTAGTTGGAATATTATTTTTATTTTTAATTGGCCCTCAAATTAAAGCAAGAGGCATATCCAAAACACCTTTGTGTTTCTGTTTGGAGTAGAAAGAAAGTCGTAACATCTTTGGACTTTAAATAATAATTACACTATAGACAAACCATACCTATTATTCTCTTCCATTCTAAATAAATATACATATAAATGAAGCATATGCCACAGCTTGTAAGAGACCTGCACAGAACCTGTTCAGGAAAACAAATGTCTATTTGGACCATTCATTTGCTGCTTTGTAAAGGATTAATATTCCAGTGAAGTTGTCTGCACTGCCTCCTCTCCTGTCTGCCTTTTCTCCCCAAATATAACTCTTACATATGTGCACACAAACACATAGGCTCAGACACACTCACCACAGTGATCTGGCAACTTTGAAACTTCCCTAAAAACATGAATTCACTTCCTCTCAGATCATAGATATTTAGTTAGCACAAAGAAAAGGACCAGTGTTGTAAATTGTCTGTTTCTTTCCGTGTGTGTGGATTGCTGCTGAGGCTCTGTGGACCCACACTGCTTTCTTCCTGCCCATTTTTTTTTTTTTTTTGATAGTAAAACACAGGTTTGATGCAATTTGTCCCAACTTCTCATTTCAACCATTGCTTTTCTCCAAGTGGACAGAGTTTAAGATCTGTAAAAGCATCGAACAGAGAAAAAACACAGACGGGGAGAAACAAAGTAACTCCCCAAAGTGGATCTGGCATTCCTGACACCCAAGTCTCAAATCTTTTCTCTGCAGTTTGAACACAAAAGCACTTCCTGCCCTGTTTTGATGTGTTAAGGAGAGAGGGCACGTGCAGTTGGTGACATAGGAATTTGGAAAGCACAGGGCGAGCATTTCTCCTTTGAATGTCCAGCATTTGTCAGCAGCAGGTAGACACCCTGCAGTTTAATTTTGATTTAGCATTTTTTTTTAATTGAAAAGGAATAATATTTGAGTTGAAGCAATTGTATCACGTCCACTAAACTTTTCTTGATCAATATCGCGGTCTTTTACTCTCTGACGATAGGAGTGCAAGTTTGCTCCATGTCCCTCTGAGAAGGTCAGGAACAAGTTATTTTCCAATTCTGACATTTGACTGAAGAAACTGTGAACTTTTACTCTTTAATGTTTGTGACCTGAACTAATTCTCTCAAACAATATTACCTGCAGATTTTTAAAACTGAAGAAAGGGTTTAAACAATAATAATAATAATCTAAAAATACCTTAAACTTTATTGACCAAAGTCTCTAAGTTAAATCCCAGGGTTCTTTTCAAATTGACTTTGTATACTGATTTTTTTTTGTATAAAATAACATTTGAATGTATAGCTATATAATTTCTAAGCTGATGGAAGATACAGAACTTTTCATATTGTTCTATAATTTATGTTTTACTGTATTGTCCTAAGTCTTCGTTATCTTAGGAAGAAAAAAGTGTTTGTTTATATTAGTTGCTATAGCAACAGTAGTTAGAAATTGTAGTTGGAAGAGGATGAGGAGTCTTCAGGCCTTCAGCTCTTTTGCTGGATAGATCTCTTTCTCTGAGATCTCTGAGAGTGTCTTCAATTTATTGCTCACATGTCCTCATGTTTAGCAACTTACTGTGAGAATGTATTAAGAGATATAACTCATCTAATTTTTTCCTCATTTGTTGCCTCAGAAATCAGAGTTGTCCTATTTGGAGAATGCAGAGAGATATTATGGACCTTTTAATGTTTCAACAATAAAGTCAAGGACATGAAGTTAGAAATAATCTCCCAAAATGTTAAGGGCCCGGTTGCTGCTGCTATTTCTCTGTGCAGACTGATGGAGATGGGTGCCCAATGGCCTTTGCTCTGTCACTGCTTTTGTGGCTTCTTTATTTTTATAAATTGGTTATACCATTTCCCACTAGATCACTTGATTTGGCCATACTTTCCCTAGTACATTTTCATTGTTGCTCTCAGAACTTATTTGAGGTTTGGGCTGGTGGTGTTTTTCCTTATTTTCAAAGCTTTGGGATTCAGATGTGAAGAACTAAGACAGTTCTCTGGACATGCTCACAGATTCCACCCAAGATCATAAGGCATGCCTTTACCCTTTTGGGAAAATAAAAAAATGTACAGGCTTCTGATACTGAGGGCACAGCCTGGACATACACCTTGTCCTCTTCCTCTTGGCCTCTTCTGCCCTGAAGAATGAATATATTCATCCATAAGGTTGCCGCTTCAAAGTGACCAGTGAGATGTTAACAGGTCAGCTGGCTGTCCTGTTGGACAGAGGGTCCATAAATCAGAGAAGGGTTGGTATGGTTGAAAGACGAAGGTAGTCCAGCCTGAGGGAAGCCCCTGTAAATCTCTCCAGGAGCTTTGTTCTTGGTAGGGGTAGGGGTGGGGGTTGGAGTTGGGGTAGTCATGGCTGTGGCTGTTATTAATGCCCTGGCCCTCCTGCAGTGGGTGCTAACTTCTTGTGCATGAGAGCTGCCTCCACCCTTCCCAAACATCGGCTGCTTGAAAAGTCAAGCACGGCTGAGCTCTGATTTTCATTTAATAGTCAAAACCAAGATGCATTTGGGCTATGATGATAGGACAGCTCCCTTGAAAAGATTATTTGAACTACAAAGGCATTCATTTAGGGCTAGCGATGTTGCAAAAGGGCCTGCTAGAAATTAGCAGCCTGTCCTGGTATTTGGAGAGCAAGAGTGACAACTTACTGGAAGTTCTCAAGGAATCATTTATATTTCACACTCCACTAGGCAGCTGATTTGAGATTGTCTGTTAGCATAACAAAGGCTCTGAGCCTGTGAACTTCAGAAACCTTTCGACCTCTTAGCTGCTGGCATGAATAGCCCCCAGTCCTGCCTATAGAGATCTCCCAAAGCTCCCCTGTTCGTGGCTAAATTGTTAATCAGGGTAATTTAATATAG